AAATTATCTCTACCACCTGCTGTATGGGCTTCATGAGTATTGTGGTTCATTGACACTATTGCTAATTGTTTGAATAGGCCTATAGTCTTAGGGACCTCTGCTTACTACCTGCTCTAAGATGGTCAGCCACAGACCCCTACAACCTGTGACACCTCATTGTTCTCTTTTCCTCATACTTGTATCCACTCAACCTGTTTCTATGGACATGTTATGTTTCCTTTGATAAAGGAAAGAACTTGCTTGGTTTGATCCCATTCCATGTCATTTTCAGCATGTTCTTGCCACGGTTAGTGTCCTACTCGGAAAGTCCATGTTCAGTACCTGGAAGGAGTTACAACAGCAACAGACCAACCAGAGCTCACGGTTACTGGATTCAGTGGAAAGATTTTCCCGAGCGTTATGGACAGAGGACAGCACTTTCCAGCCCATCAACCAAACCAATGTGCAGATGAGAGGCATGGTGATAAAAGGCTCCAAAACCTACACACCGAAATTTGTTTTCTCAGACTCTAACCTCTGGGGCAACGTGGCAGTTGATGAGTACCAGCTGGGAAATCTGCAGACAAATTCAACTATTGTCACCATGGCTTTCCCAACTCTCAAAACCATCCTTTCCCAGGATGCTCAAGGACAGAGCTTTGCAAACAGCTTAGTGATGACAACCACAGTCAGCCACAATCTAACCATGCCATTCCAAATATCAATGACTTTTAAAATCAACAGACCTTCAGGCAGCAAACCACAGTGTGTCTTCTGGAACTTTAATCTCACCAATTACACAGGAGGCTGGGACAGCAGTGGGTGCCAGATGGAAGAAGTCCACAGAGACATCATCTCCTGCAGCTGCAACCACTTAACGTCATTCTCCATCCTCATGTCCCCTGACTCCCCAGACCCTGATTCGCTCCTGAAAATACTGCTGGATATCATCTCCTACATTGGGTTGTGCTTTTCCATCCTGAGCTTAGCAGCCTGTCTCATTGTGGAAGCGGTGGTGTGGAAATCGGTGACCAAGAACCGGACTTCCTATATGCGCCACATCTGCATTGTGAACATTGCCGCCTCCCTGCTGGTGGCTGACACCTGGTTCATCGTGGCTGCTGCCATCCATGACAACTACTACCCACTCAATGAGACAGCCTGTGTGGCTGCCACCTTCTTTATCCACTTCTTCTACCTCAGTGTCTTCTTCTGGATGCTGACTCTGGGCCTCATGCTCTTCTACCGCTTGGTTTTCATCTTACATGACACCAGCAAGTCCATTCAGAAGGCAATTGCCTTTTCTCTTGGCTATGGCTGTCCTCTTGTCATCTCAGTCATCACCGTGGGGGCCACCCAGCCGCAGGAAGTCTACACAAGGAAGAATGCCTGTTGGCTTAACTGGGAGGATACCAAGGCCCTGCTGGCTTTCGTCATCCCAGCGTTGATCATCGTGGTGGTGAATATGACCATCACTGTCATCGTCATCACGAAGATCCTGAGACCTTCCATTGGTGACAAGCCAAGCAAGCAAGAGAAGAGCAGCCTTTTCCAGATCAGCAAGAGCATTGGGGTCCTCACACCACTCTTGGGGCTCACCTGGGGTTTTGGTCTTGCCACTGTGTTCCAGGGGAGCAACGCTGTATTCCATATTGTATTTACCCTCCTCAATGCCTTCCAGGTAAGCTATGTAGCCAAGTACTCTCAGGAAGTATCCAGGCTGGTGGGACAAACTAATGATAGAAACACAAACAGGAGTTAGGAATGGAAAGGATTTAGTCCAGAGGTGGTCCTAGCCCTAAAGAGTGATGATTGCAACAACGCAGTGAGCTAGGAAGGACACATTCCTCTGATTCCATGGACCTTCACATCTCTAATCACCTGCATTATAATTTAGTCACATATGTGACTATATGATCCGATAATACAAGTAGGAAAAAAGTCCCTTTACTACTGGATTTTCCTTTTTATCCAACATTATCTTGCTCCAGCCTGTTATGTCCTAAGTACAAATATGATTAAACCAAATAATCTCTCTATTTAATTTTTACTAGCACTGCATAAGCTTGCCTTTGTGAGGCTAGGGATCATGTTTATTTTATTCATTACTATATCAAAAAGACTTGACACAAAGTATGTGCTCAGTGATCACTTGGTGAAAGAAACAAATGCTATGTACCTGGGATTTTCTCTAGAAACATTTGCAGAAAAATGATAAAATGAATGTTCTCTATAATGTAATCTCTCTCCTCTGATTTAGTAAAATGAGAAAGACACCTTTTCTCTCTTAACACACATAAATAGGGCCCCCCCATGAACTGGTGAGGAGGCAAATGATCTGGAGGTGAGGGTTGAATATTATTCCAAGTTGTGCAAATCCTAGCTCCTCTACTGGAGAGGAGTCCATAGCCCAGCCTATGAGGCTCATTTCTTGTTCTTTAAAATATGCCTTGACACATGGAGGACTTGCTGGTGGGAAGTCCATGGGGATTACAACTGAGAAAAAATGTACAAAATAAAGAATGATGTTATATATATAATAAAACATACCTTGCCTACTTGGGGCTGGTTATTCTATCCCATGTCCCAGGTCTTCATCACAATCATGTGTGGTATATTTCAGGACATAAGCAGCAGGACCTCTAGTTCACAATATGGAAATTATCCTTATAGCATATAACATCCCTTGGCATATGGATCTACCGCATCCCTGTTAAAGTGATCATCTACTGGACTCATTCCATAAACTCTGATGTAGAAAAAGGCAGTACAAGTTCAATGTCAGATTAATATAATAAAACTTCTGTTATTTTACTGGATGATATAATATGATTAAAATGAACTTTCCCCCAACTCTTTCTTCAGGGATTATTCATTTTACTCTTTGGATGCCTCTGGGACCAGAAGGTAAGAACAGTGACAGTTTCACACTCTTAGAAAAGTCTAAGGTGCATGTGACTTGTTGAACTGACATTACAGGTATCTTTTAAACATTACAGGTGCAGGAAGCTTTACTGAATAAGTTTTCACTGTCAAGATGGTCTTCACAGAACTCAAAGGTAAATATTTCCTTTATGGAGATATTTCCTTTATGGAAACCCCTCTGTCCACAGCATAGATTGTTCCATTGTTTTTGTACCTGACATTCTGCCTATTAAGTCAGCTAAGGAGAAGAGTCTGTCCCCAGAGCTTTGATAGGCATTCAGATAGAACAGATAAAGTCAGTTGTAAGTTAAATTCAGATTTCAAAGGGAAACATCCTTTAGAGAAACCCAAGTCAACAAAGAAGACAATTTGAAGAATAACAATCAATTTTCTCGGATTTGCAAAATAATTGTCTCAAAGATATTTGACTTAGAAAATTTATGAAGATACCAGAATCCTATTTAATAATTGAACATAAAGTTGACAGTTATTTTCCTAAAACTGATGCTGAGATTACAGTGTTTCAAAGTGGCTCTTCTCATAGCTTGGCTCCTTTAAGGGCTCTCTTAAGGAGGTGGGAGGAGAAATGCAGGAAGTGACCACTAGAGGGCAGCAAACCAATCCTTCTAGAGAGGAAAACAGGACCTGGGTTAAATTTACACATAATTTTCTTTTTGCCTTTTTTCTAGTCCACATCCCTAGGTTCATCTACACCTGTATTTTCTATGAGTTCCCCAATATCAAGAAGATTTAACAATTTATTTGGTAAAACAGGTATGTAGTGACTTTTATTGTTTGGATAACCCTTACAGATTTGCCCTCAGGGGGCTTCTCAGCCACTTTTCCCAATCCCCTTCTCTGTCAGTTCCCTGTGGTAACCTCCTTTGGTACAGAGGCTAAATAGAAGGACTTGTCTTTTCCCAAACCACCAGGAAGTTGTTAGAGGGGTCATCTGCCCTCAATGGGCAACTAGTCATAATGTATTCAACTTGAAGAATAAGATTGAAGAATCTTGACAAGCCTTAGCAAACTGTCAAAAGTGTATCAACCATAAAAATCGAAACTGTAAATTGTTGACCTTGTCAAATGGAGTTTTTTTAAGTCAGGTTAGGAAGGAGTAAGAAGGTGGTGTTCCTGGGTCATAGTGCAACAAAATACACACACACACACACATACTTGATATTTGATTTAGGTAAGATTGGTTTACATCCTTGCTTATGTTTGGAAGTATAGGTTTTTCCCCTCTTCAGGTATTATTACTCCAGTGCACCCACCATCAAGGTACCATAGTTCATCATCACCAGCAAAGGATATATTTAGAAAATCACACAGTAGGATTATGGGTTCCCCTTCCCTTCCTCAACTTATTTTTTTCTTTTTTTGGGGTGAGTTGGTTTTACATATTGATTCTTATCATCAAACTCCATACATATATGAGGGACCACTCAAGTTTACGTTAATGTTAGAAGAATGCACGAACTGTTCAAATTTCCACCTTGGGCATATTAAAAGGAATAATATTACTGACTTTGGACAGTGGGTCTCAGTTATTCTGAAACCCCTGTTTCAGAAATTGAAACCCTGTTTCATGTCACCAACCCTCCAGGAACACAGACACCAGAATTCCTTCCAGCCTCTCAAAACTGAACGGTTTTCACAAATGAGGTATCTAAAAATGTGTCCATTGCTCAGGCCAAGGTTTTTCCTATAAAGGCAAATTCTGAGAATGCCCATTAATTGATAAAACTTCAGAGAACTTGATGTTTTCAGCTGTAATTCAATGTACTACTCATGAAACTGGCAAGACACTTTTGATTTCAAAAGCCACTGACTGGATCTGTTGTGAAACGAGCAAATCCTGAGGTGGCGTTAGAACACTCCCTCGTCCACTCAGTCACTGGAGCCTGTAGACCATTTTAACAGAGTGGCCAGTCTTTGAGTGATTTTTCTGGAGTCAGAACGGGGTTGCCGCGCCAGCACGACAGCAGGGATGGTCTGAGCGAAGGACGTCAGGATTAAAACACACACACTTCTTGGTCAGCAAGCAAAGGCACACTTTATTCTTCTCTCCTTCCCTATTTATCCCCTTCAGCATGGAGCCTGGGGCTGGGGGTAGGTGGAAGCTCTCAGCAAGTGCATCAATAACATGCAACAATAACATGGGGGTCAAAGA